AGCTGCTTATAAACACTGGCTTTAGCAACCTTCAAAAATTTTATATATTTTATCTATATATAGGGGGAGGAGAGAGAGAGAGAGATGATACAGATATATGAATCAATCAATCCTTGGAAAGCTCATAGTCTTTCAATTCTTTAGATGCTTTATTACTATATTTAGCTACTTTTTATTATAAACAAACTTTCCCCTTCCTCCATACCCACCCCCACCTCATGGATATAAAATCTCTCCATACACCAGTGCCACTCTAGCCTACGCTAGAGAACAGGATGCAGAAGAAGATCAAGGCGATAGGTGATGGAGACTGGCCTCACTGTTCTGGGGCACGCTGACCTATCTATACTATACTCCACGCTCAGCTTATGGTCATGTACACAGACTCCGCTTGTTATCACACATGGTATCACACGATGCTTATATGCTGTCTACCTGCTATTAGCACCAACTGAATCGTAACACAGGATGATAATGTGCTTAGTAGCTGTATAAGAGCATAGGTTCCCCTTCCCCCACTGCTCCTCGCCATGGATGGGTGCTCAGCAGTGCCTGGAATCTCTCCATAGTTCTCTTCTTCCAACCAGAAAACTGGGTAGCCCCCCGTGCAGAAGCGGAGGCAATAAAAGCCTTAATTTGACCACTGTGTGCCTTGTGTGTGTGTGTATGCCCGCTCCCACTGGATGCCTGGGTGACTGCATTGTCACCCTCCATCCTTAAACACCTACTAAGAAAACCATGTGAATTCTTCAGGAAGACCCATCTCTAATAACATAGAACTTAGGCAAGAGGTATTTTGTCAGTGCTTTGGAATGCAAAACCAAAACCAAGTCAAAATCCAAAACCAAAACATCAAGAAAAATCAGGACCAAAAAGAGAGCCAAAAGAAAAAACCTCCCAGCACTGTAGTCCTACTCATAATACAAACAAAATCAAAAATAACCAAACATTTGATATKCATATTTCCATTTAGATCCCATAGTAAAATGAAGTCTACAATGGTCAAATAATACATTTCAGTGAGCTCTGCTAACAGAGTTCAGTGCATTTGTTTTGCATATGCAGGTCCATAAAGCCATATTCAAGCCCAATAGCAATATTACAATAATTCATCAAATGAATAATGAGTAGTGGAACCTCAGGTAAGTCACAGAACCTTTTTCTAACTGCTGTAGGCATTCTCCACAGATAGACATCTTCCTTTAATATGTGAAGATGACACATAGACAAAGCTAAGAGCAACCCAATCATTATGGAAAGCCCAGGGCTAAAGAATTATTTAATTGTTCTATGGGATGGAATTATTTACTATCCCAAAGACAAGAAGATTTAGGAGACAGAACTAGGGCCAGTCCAAGGCAAGGACACAAACTCTCATGGCCTGTGACCTCTCCCAAATCACATTACTGCCCTTTACAGGTTCACATCTCTGTGAAGAGCTTCACCAACATGAAAGAAAGTGCAGATACTAAAGAAAGGAAAACAACCAAATAGTCTTATTGCATTCRTAATTTTTCTCATGCAAGTAATTGATTCTTCAACTCACACTTTAAGCATGGTTATGGCTGTGGAAAGTACTACACCTTCCGTTTGAATTCAGGTGGGAGACAGCTTTTCTGCATACACTGTAAAACAGGTACAACAGTCTGGATAGTACCTGACCACCTCAGTGGCTTCAAGTTGTCTATTTCCCATGTGGATTCTGTTCTATTCTGTCTATAAGGGAATGAAAGTTCATACTTAGAAAGGCGTCTGCTAGCCTTTCCTTGCTGTGGGTCTATACAGCTGCAGAGCTCAGTCTCTCAAGGAAGCAGGGGAGCCTAGCATGCATAAATGGCTTTGAAATTCTAAACTGAGAAGCACCACATAGGTGCCAAGAAGTTTTATGGTTACACATTTGGGCTGCACATAGGTGTGCTTTGGGGGAAGACTGCCTCCCCCTAACAGGCCTCAGCCAATTCCTTGGGGGAAGGTGCTACATATGAGATAGTGCAGCTCCACAAACCTGCCTAGGGAGCTCAGAGGCCTTCCCTSCAACTGTGCATAGCAGTAGTGTGAGATATTATAGGTGTATACACACACATATTTGGATAGCCCCATCTTCTTACAGGACAGTATCTGACTTTATCTTCGCCTTAACCTAAGGGTTATCCAACAAGTGCTACTACCTTGTCTTACAAACAGAAAAATGAGCCATGAGGAGAAGCTCTAGCTCCTAATCCAACAGGCCACTTGTTTTTGGCATGCTAGAAGAGTTAGGTCTATCTGGACCACCTCCTTCATTAAGCCTTTGACTTTACTTCTCTCAGAGCCACATGAGGATAGACTTGCTATAATCACTAAGGAGTAGGGGAAGCAGACTGATTCAACCTAATTTTGTTTTAAAGCATTGATTTTGAAGTAATTATTACTCTTAGCTTGTACCTTGTGTCTATTTAATAGCCTCCAGCTCATCATTTCCTCATATTTGCCTTTTCCTTAAGTATGTGAAGTCAAAAACACCTATAAGAAAGCTAAATGGTTGAACCTAGCCTTCCCAAATTAGCTTATAGCTACACCACAATTTCATCTGAAAGTGCATAGTGCTTGCTCGCCTACTGCAAACATGGAGGTTTAAAACAAAGCAAAACAATATACTCCCCCAAAAAATCTATTTTTTTTCAGTATTCACCTAAGAAATTTTTGCTCTTATAAAGGACTAGAGTAGCTAACATTTTAAAAGAGAATGCTGTCACTGAATGTAGATTATAGAAAAATTTTCTGATCACTAGAAATAGAATTAATGTGGCTATTTGGAGCATTGATTTACCACCATTTTAAGTGGGGAAAGAAGTGTTGGCAGTATACTTCCCTTACTGTTTCTATTTTCCTATAAAAACAAATCACACCAGACTCATCATTCACCTGTTGAAGCTGCAGAAGACATTAAACATAAACAAGGAAGATTGATCCCCTTTCAACTTGTGTTAACAGGGGTATAAAAATAACATCCCAAATACTGGGGGAAAAAAACACGTGGTCATAAAATATCCACTTAAAAGACGGAAAGGTGTTGAGTCAACACTTGAAGAGGATTTTTACCCCCCTCTTTTTCCCCTCTCTCTGTATAAAACCAGGAAGGCAGTTCCTGAATTTTAGTATAAACAGACACCTCTGAGGTGGAGAGGGCTCCTACTGTTATATCTCCTGTAAAAGATTTTACTGATATTCAAATGGGATTTATTTTGCATGCAGTTGGAAGGTCTAATAAGAAAGTTCRTACAAATCCTAGTCCAGTCATGAAGCAGAATCTCACTGAATTTTGCTAAACATTAAAAATGAGAAGTACTAATAGGATGAAAGGCAAAAAAAAAAAGTGAGCTTCATTTGGGCAACATCTTCCTTTCAGAAGCTCTTAAAATCCTGTCAACAAGTAGAGGATCAAAATATTGACTTGTCTCATGAAAGAAGTGAGGATGCCTTAGATGCAAGATGGTAAATAGCACATTTTTTGTAAGCTACTTTGTCTTTGGAGACAGGGACAACACATCCACAACAGAAGAGTTAATAGCCAAAAAAAAAGTTATCCAACCTTGTGCTACTGTTCATGTACTAGACCTTAGATTACTGCATTCTTGTTCCATGCAGCTTCAGGAGAGAAGACAGACCACGCTGTTAGAGGACTCTCATGGCAGGTAAAAGCTTGGAGAAAATTACTTGGCAGACAACCAGCACAATGTAAATCATATGAAAAAAATCATCATACCTCTTCAAGCGCTTCCACTTGTGTTCTGTTAGAGGCAAACCCCCAACAACATAGTATAATTGCACCCTTTGAGCTCTTAATAGGTAGCGTCCACAGTCAGAGTCAGACCTAGCATTCCCCACTGGAACCCACTGGGGTTAACCCAGGAGAAACTGGCAGGCACATTGGCCTGTCARTTTTGCACTTTTATTCCTTTGCTGACATATCGGCATCTCCCCTTGAAATCAGGGAGCTATGATATCAAGGGATGAGATCAAGGGCTTTGAACTTGATTAAAGGGTACATCTCTTACTGAATTAAGAAAATAAGTTTCTCAGCAAGTCTCCTCCATTGGAGAGCTCATTATGGAGGCCCCGGTACAGACTCAGTATTTCTTCTTATTAGGAGGCCCACATACAAGGTCACATCTATCCTTAGGCTAGGTGTATACTACTGAGGGAGAAAGGACGAAGGATCGTTTTCTAGCCCTGTAGCTTGGCTATCTGGCTGACTACATCCATATTACTGTACATGTGTGTGCATGCACTTCACTGTCCCAGAACACGTGGGCAAGATCCTGTCATATGCAGATACACTGAGGAGGTTGGGAAGGTTGCATCTGAGGAAATAAAATTAAACAGATACTGACTGTGAGATAAAGGGTTTTTGTTTTTCTMCTCCATCCTCCTCCTCTTCCAAGGAATGATTGTGGCCTTGCAGGTATTACAGCCTATGCTAAGCTGAACAATTTTTTTTTTTTTTCTAGAAACGTCAAAAGAGAGACCTACTTTAGTAGGCAGATGGAAAACACAAGACAAACACGAGTATGTGATAACACAAACTGTTTAGTGGGATCTCTGAACAGGTATTATAACAATAGAAGTACAGTCTTAGACACAATATTTTTCCCAAAGTGGAATTATATCCATGAAATACTTCTTTGCTCAACTTATCCTTCACAGAAATTCCATTGTGTAATTGTTTAATATAAAGTTAAAAAGCAGGTAGCATTGAACAGACATCATTGCTTGTTTAGCTCTAACAGATAATGATTCAYAATAAGCAATAATTTTCCTTAGAACAGGAAAACACAATATTGAATCTAGACTCCCCCCCCCACACACACACATCACTGTTCAAAGAAGAAAACTTAAACTAGAATTTTTTCCTCCCATCAAAAAGTAAGTAGGTCCTCCTAGATGTCAGTTTTACTAGGAAGGAATCATCCTTTAACACTTTATGGGTAGGGTATATCTATTATTAGTGTAAGATTTCATCTCTAAAAACCTTTTCCTTTAGGTTGACAATGTAGTGATCTAAAAGTCACTGACCTATTTCCCTCCCACTCAGGAGGAACAGTTTTATCTTCCAGAGCTGTAACACTATGGCAAGAGCCACAGCTCACAGGTTTTCCTGTCAGTATCTACTATAGAATTAAGTATGTTCATCCCTGTCTTGCTTTCTTAATGACGTTAAGCTCCCTAGAATATTTGGCTCATATTGAAGCTGAGGGAAAGCACAAGACATGAAATTTATCTGGTATCAATGRTTTACAACAGATTTCCCTCCTTCCACTGCCTTCCTCCTTCTACCCCAAAAAAGATATTTCCACCTGCAAAGTGACTAACCATGATAGTTTGAGACACATTAGGTGATCAAACCAGTTCAGAAGTCACAGATTAAGACTTCTACACTTTACAGGATCACAGAGCAACACAATAAATTGATTAAATAAAGGCATACATACATATTGGAYAGCTGACATTCTTTGGAATATATTTCCCTTCAGATATTTGAGATGCCTTTATTGTAAACATTCTCTGGGTAGACTGCACTTGCTTAGACTTCCTAAATGCTGTTTCTCAAAATGAATGCTCTGGTTAAGTCTTTGTCAGAAATCCACGTATTCACCTAGGGGGATAAGAAACAGATTTACAGGAGCCTATTGTCACAATAATGGTATCCTTTGTCCTTCAATAACGTAAAGAGCAACACCAACCTCATCCAGTACTTTTCCTTTCTGAATAGCACTGCTCCAGATGATGTTTGCCCATACAGGTGGGATTCTACACTGCGATCTAGTGAGAAATTCCAGGATTTAGTGTTCCTGCTTGTGCTGAAAGTGTCATCTGACAAAGCTCCTGACAGCATGTGCCAAGTTTGAGTAAAACTTCAAGGGTGACACTTGAGAAGTTATCATTTTCTTACCAAGTCTGTGTTTTGCAACACTGCATTTCCTTGGACAAAAGGAGTCTGAGGACTGCTGCATAGTGCTGCAGATCACCACACTGCAGTGGAAATACAGCTACAAAACAAATGTTTATTTTATTATAAAAGGCAGTCATATCTGGTGAACTTCTGATACACATATTGACCACAGAGGAGAAAAACTGAGCTCTATTGACTAGCTGGTCAGTATTTACTTTCTAGAGCATTATGCCTTCATGAAGGAGGCTAATATCTCCAAACAGTGACCAGCATAGGTTTTGATAGTGTTAGCTGCCTGCACCAGTCCAATGTGGGGATATACAAACTCACTTTGGAATGTGCACAACAARTTGCAGATATGTCTCACCTGCTCTTGTAGCAGAGTTGTACTTTGAAAAAAAGTGAACAGTCTCACTTCGAATCTCTTAAGGTGCAGAGGAAATCTTACTCTGGGGCTAAAATTAACTTGATGGAATATGGTTCTGTGAGATTCTTCATTGTTTTCACATCTTTAGAGGAAGGAAAAAAGTTTATTTAACTTAGGTGTTGTTCATGGACCCCTTTGGACCCCCCCCACCTCTATTTTGGCCATAGATATCATCGCTTCTTTTCCTTTCTAGCTGAAAGTACTTCTAGCCATACTGAGGACCTGCTGCCACCAGAAGGCATACCCAGCATGCAGATGCCATCAGTATGCTTTACAATTTAGAGCAGTCAGAACAAAATAATCCTTTCACACTCTCTTCCCCTTTTCTTCCAGCTGGAAGAACAAACCTTCTGTTGAACAGTTACCAAACACAAGATGAAAGTTTTCCTTACCCATTTCTAAGGATAGACCACTGGGGATGGCTGTCACCACTTTGAGAGTTTGTAGCCCAGCAATCTTTTAAGTTTAGTTCTAGTCTCACATCTTCAGGCTGAAGTAATTGAACCTCAAAATACAGTGCCTCCCTCAAGTATTTTACCACAGGATATTCTGATTCCCTGTAAGGGTTAGAAAAGGTCTTCTCTACAAGAAAGAAGTTTGACATTAGAGGGTAAGTTTGTTTTTTTTTGTTGCCCCACCACCATCACACAAACACAGTATATCACTTAAGTAATTTAAAGTATATTCTTAAACTTGGAGAATCCAGAGGAGAATCTGTTCCTTCTGCAGAAGGCACATAAGATGTTCATTCAAAATTGTTACTGGAAAAATGCTAAAAGAAGCATACACTTCCTTCTCTACTATATGCTATATGCTGACTTTGGTCAATGCTAACTCCTCTGCTTAGCAAGGTTTTGGCTGACCTCAAATCCACTGTGCACTCTTTAGCATGTCCAGTTTAAGTAGGTGGGGGAAAAGAAGCTAACTGAACACTCCTTTTTTGTAATCAGTGACATAAAGGTCTGATCAATTGTAGATCTTCTGTAGACAGCAGCATTTGGACTGAAAGCCTGTTAGAATTCTTAAAATCTGATCKTAAGTATTACCTTTGAAAAGCTCAAATGAGAGAGCAAGAGAACCAAATCCTGGCTTAATACTGGGTGCTGGGTTGTTTTTAGATTGGTATTGGACATCAGCAGTCTGCTTGATTGCATACCAGCATATGCACTTTAATCTGAGGGAAAAAGACAAAACAGATTTAGATTTTAACATGAACATATAACATTTTAGACCTTAAAATATCTTGGACAATCTCCTATTACGGAATTATACTTACTGATATACTGGCGTATCACTGCCAGGTCTGAAATAAAGTATATCATTTTCATATGTCATGGTTGTGCTGTTGAACTGCAAGATACAGGTACTGTTATGAGAAAACAACTACATTGGAAAAAGTTTGTTTTTGACAACATCCATGCTTTTCACTTCATAGATTACACTGAGATCACCTTTGGAAATAGCCAGAGATTATTGGCCGATAGCTCCATGCTTAGTGAACTAAAGCTGTTTACAGCCAACAATTGTACTGTTAGCTAAGCTATTTCTTCTTACTATGATACCTTGAATATGATATAATACACCAGAACAATTGCACTGTACCTGAGACATGTGACCACTTGGTTTGTATTAACAGAATGAAAGTCACCATGAGATACATTCGTGGTGTAGACTTTGCACTTCCAAAAGTAATCTACATTTGATGTGACCTGAACTTGAGCATAACCTGATCYTTTTCTTTTCCTCTGTTTTCTATTCATGCAGTATGCAGGTGACCAGAATAGTAAACATTCCAGTCTTGGCCCAGGTGTTAATCACCTGACCAGCTTCTACAGTGTGTAGGGATACCTGCCAACAAGCTCATATTAAGTCTAGCAATATACAATTCAGAGGTGTCAAGCTGAAGGCTGATTTCAGCAGGTGTTGCTGACCTTGAAAATTGCTTTCACCGAAAGAGAACCTTAAAAGGAAAAGGGATGCAGATATGCCACTTATCACAAGGTCAGATATGACCTTTTTGTAGCTTTTGCTCAATTCTGAACTTCTGCCAGTTCAATACCTTACTCCAATACAGAACAAGCTTTGCATCACTGAGACTTTACCTTTCTACTTGTTCCACAAGTGTTTACATTGAACTTGAAGGTTGCAGTCTTCTCTGTCACCAGAATGGGTTTGCATTGTCTGTCTCTCAAGACAAGCTGACTCATGTCCACATCTTTAATCCCTACAAGTTTCACTGCAGTAATAACCACAGTTCCATTGGGCAGGCACTCTGAAAAAGAACAAGTGCTTTTTCCATACAAATCAAGGCTCATATCCCTAGAAACTGCAGCCTAGCACAATGAAAAGGTTTTATATGGATTTGATGACAATATTTTGGCCGCTCATGAGTATTACAAGTTGAGCAAGCCTCTTTTCTGAATTAGTAGTGTTATGAATACCAGCTTCAGGCTACATGATTGTAAAGCAAGCACAGTAATCAAAGCCATAGTTAACCTTTTCCTCACATTTTTAAAGGCTCACTATCTCCTGAAAATAATTTTTGAGCCAAAGTATTCAATATGTCCAATTCTAGATGAGTAGTTTTGAAATTACATGTTTACAAGCTGACTCATTCCACCTTCCCTCCATCCCTGTTTTTGCAAACAAAAACATCCCAAAACAGATTGGCAAATGATTGCAGGGGGTTACTTCCATCTACCATCCTTCTTTTACACTTAGTAATTTATAGAAAACTTGACAAACAAACTCTAGGACTATGTGATCATTTAGACTTTCAGAAGTGTGCTTATCTGTCAATTTAATAATGAGGTTAAAAGTATGAACAATAATTCAGAAACACATTAGAGACAGATAGCATTATTACGCATTAGCTGTGAAGGGGAAAATCTGCAGGAAATTGAGAAGTCTCTCTTGTTAGCCAGGGTGACACCATCCTTCAGGGTTAAGTGGAGTGAAGCCATTATTCCAGAGGAATGGATATCCTAGAGGTGATCACAGGTTAAATGAGAGAATGAAGACATACTGTTCATCTAGAACTGCTCAAAAACTAAGGACAAACTATCACACGTGAAGAGTAAAGATGCTTGATGAAAGTCAAATCTCCCAGAGGAATTTTGTAAGCTAGACACAGCTACATCAGCTTTCAGTGATTYTGTAATACAAACTTCAAATAGCACTTATGTGCTATTAAGGGTTACTCAACCCTTGAAGTGCTTGAGGAATACTTTTCTTGACTACTTTCACCTGCCTTAGCCAGGGGAATCTAAAGTGAACTTCTACAGACAGAAAATGCTTTTCTCACTAACCTTTTCAAGCTTGTGCTAAAGGAATTTTGTTTTTCCTCCAACAAAAAAAAAGGACATAATATATATTGTTAATTTCTTATAGCTAGAATATCCCTTTATTTGCTTAAAATGTACTGGAATCCTTACCTCATAGTCCACATGGGAAGAAAGGAAAGGGACACAAATTGCCAAGTGAGTGCCATTGTCACTCAGACTATAGCTATGCTTTTGTGCAGCCTCTGATGTCAGGTGCTGGTTGGAGATGAAGAGCAGCCAGTTTTGGTCCACATTCCCATGAGCAATTGTTAGACAGAGATTCTTCTCATCACAAAATCCTCTTGCACTAGGCAATACTGTAAGAGGGTAAAGAGTTAGTCAATGTGCTAGCTACTGTCAGATTTTAAAACAGCTATTCAGGACAGAGAGCACCCCTATCTGAAGTTAGCCCAGGTAAGGGCCGAGTTTACCAACAGGCTAAGCATGGCCAGAACACAGCTCTGTTCAGCTTTCCCCTTGCTTACCTGCATCTTTAACAGCAGACACTGTTATGATTGGGATGGTGAAAGTCTCACTCGTTGGATGGATTCTGAAGTCAAGTGTGACATTCAGGGTGTATGTTCTAATGTCATCCCTTGTATACTAGAGAGATCGTATTTAGAAATAAATTCAAATGATACAGTCAGTTCTGTACTATATATTGCGTTATCTTGGTACACACCTCTTTCTTAATGCTTGCTGCATCAAATGGGACTTGTATTGTGTAAGTTTGGCTGCCATTAGCATATCTGTTTTGCTGTGTCAGATATCCATGCCAAATAGCTTCAAGTACTGTTACAGTTGTCCCCTCAAAGGTCAAATTCACAAGCTCCACATCAGGGAGGAACATTCCCAATGTCACATTCACTAGTCTGGCGCTCAGATTTGTGTCTGAAAGGAAACAGGTTAACGTTAAGCTCTCACCAGCACCTTCAGTAAATTTAGCATTAATCCACTTACTGTCGGTCATAGTGAGTTCCACATGTTCAAATGGTGTTTCTATTTCCTTGATGATAGTATGTTTGGTTAGTCCCCATTTGTTATCTTCCCACTGATGTTCTAAGAACAGGCTGATACAGTATTTGGTCCCATGCTGTCCACTGTTCACAGAGGTCTAGAATTTCAGATTAACATCCTTTAGTACAGAATAATTTTACATGAAGTAAAAATTGTATGGTAGCTTTCCCAGGGTCACATAGCATTACAGCTCAGAACAGTTGCCTTTCAGTTGCATGGCCCTGCTTTTATGCCAGGAAAGATTACTCATGAGTGTTGCTTTTTGAAGTTATCTTGAACTCATGAGTAGCACTTGCTGTATTACTTCTAAATAAATACCTAAATACTAATACTAATATATAATAATATAAAATACTAATTCTAAATAAATACTTCTAAATATTTCTTATAAATCCGCCGTTTACTTCAAAGTTCAGTTGTAAAATTTGTTCAAGAACTCATTTACTCCAAGAAGCTACATTTAGATGTCCACATACTGGAATGGGTATAGATTATAAAAGTAGGCCATTTTCRTTCTCTTACATGTTTGTATAACATACAACAGAATCCATGCACATGCAGGGTTCCATGCAGTTCTAGGGCAGTCTGCAGGCTGTATAACATGATAGCTGTACAGCTAGATAGCTCTACAGATGTAACACGATAGCTGGTAGCTCTTACAACTTAACTTGAGGAAAGAGATTAGTGAATAGTTCTGTATATTTGGTTCTGTCTACTTCTATTTCTAAGAAAAGAATTTGTGCACAAAATGATGCCTCCAAGAACTATATTTGGCTGGACTTTTGAGATTTTTAGATCTTTTCCTTTCTCCTTCAGTTTTCATTTAAAATGAATAGGATAGAGAATTTTTCTTCTTCAGAAAAAAAGAAAAAAGAAACAAAATATTTGCCTGTAGTCTAACACAAKTGACTAACCTTGTAATAGCCACCTTCTGCACCTACTGGTATCTTGATTGTAATTGAATCCAAGTCATTTTCTAATGAATATTTCCTGGATATCATCTCCTTAGCAGAAAGTTTATGTAGATCCACACCAGCTTCAACAAGTACATCCTTAAAGCCAGTTGCTCCAGCAGAGAGGGGTTGGACATATTTCGGAACAGTCCAGATGATTGTTTTGTTCATGTAGTCCACACCATCTTAAAGGCAAGATATAAAGGCTCTAAGCTCACACATACAGCTCTGAGTTGTCTTTGTACCTTTCTGCAGTGGAATAGGTTATCAAATTTCTCACCTACAGGACATGCCACAGCAGTATCCACCATTAGGATCATCCACCTCTGTTTGTAGAATGTACTTGACCTCACTGCAGAAAAGGTAATTCCCTGAGCCTGCAGGAGTAGATCTAGTTAGATCCATGTAGTCCAACAGCTTACTGGCTCTGAATGACCCTACAGACCTTGACAAGCTGAATCTGTGCAGCACTGTATGGTATTCGCAGCAGTATCCTGGTATCTGTGGTGTTGAGTCCATAGCCAGCATGCCAAGCATCCGTCACCAGCAAGGCCTTTTTCTTTTCTGGTTGATGAAACACTATTTGCCATATTGAGGATTCTCCTGCCTTTGCCTAATCAGAAAAGTTAATCAACAAATTAAGGAGTTATTTTAAACAGCATGTTTATTTACTCTACTGAACAATTTATTTAGCTTCCAAGGTCAGAGTAGTTTTATGCATTACTCTAAATGCAGTTAGTGTGACACCCTTTCAGCATTCCCCTTATGATGCTTTTCCATGGTGGGGAAAAAAGATTAAAAATAAGAATAAAAACACTTTTCCATATTAAAAGCTTTAGACAGATGGGGCACTAAAGAAGTGCATACATCTCATTCTCTATGGGGATAATGAATTGGGTAAGAAAATTAACTGTACTACTGTGTTGCAAATAAACATTTTTATCCTCTTCTTGGATTTTATATATAATTCAGCCCTGAGGTCTTTAGAGACAGTTGTTATTGCACGGRATCTGGTCCTAGGAAGACTTCAGTTGGAAAATGTTTGAGATATCAGTTTCAATTTCTTTCTTGGAGATGTGGCTGTCTGGATTTCTAGTGTATAAAATTTTCTATCTTAAAACCATTAGTACAGAAATTCTGCTTTTCATAGTTAAGTGCTTTTTGAAATACCCTATGGTCTTAAAATAGAAGGACTGCACCACCAGAACTAACAATAGCTTTTAGTGGAAAAGCTGTAGTTTTACCTCTGGGAAGGCAAGAGCCCAGTCCTCAGGTTCATCCTGAATGAAATCTGGTAGTATTTGTGGAACCTCCTTCCTGACAGAAACCTGAATATTAAAGAAATAAAATAAAAATCACACACACAACTGTAAGCGACAATAGTTTTTTGGAAGCACTTGTCTCCAGCACCAGAGAAATCATTCAGTGCTTTCAGAACAGAATAAGATCATTGGGGAGACCATAGCATTTTCCAAACAGAAAACAGAAGATGAAAACTTTTTACTTAACTCAAGAGTTTGTGGCATAAAACAACAAGACCAAACGCACAGTGTATTACCTATGGTCTACTCATTTTCAACTTCTTACTCCTAGCATATTTTCAAAATTTTCATGTCTTCTTATAAAGAAGAAAAAAAAACTAAACAAAAAAAACCCACTATTTCCTCCAAGTTTCTTCCCACCAAATTTACTGGTTACAATTTTGAAGGAGAATTCCAGTTCCATTATTATTTCAAAGAAAAATTGAGGTAACATCAATTTTAAGCCACTATCATAAATTTTGATTAGTATCTCAACTTCATTGCCTATTAACACCATTCAGTAGGCTTTATAAATGCATCAATAGCACAGACTTTAAAGATGCATGCTGTACATTCCTAACTTCCAAAGAATCTCTTCCAGGACTTACCTCCATGTAGTTTTTTTCACATACTAACTCTCTTGGACTCCATGGACCATAGTGACAAGTTGCAGTTTTCAAGTGTGTTGCAGCATTTTTCATATCAGGAGTATGAGAAGCTTTGATYTGAATAGTTACTGTGAACACATCTTTCTGCATGGACACAGGAACATTGGTTTGTTAAACTGATGTTTCTTCAGGAGATGCTCTCTTTCCTTATGGCCTAAGTAACCTACAAAATCCACCCACCTGCTAGTGTCTACATGGAAAAGTAAKCCGCATTGAAACATCATTACATAGAAATATCATTAATTACATGWTTAATTACATAGACTCACATCTAGCATAGTACACATCCAGATATCTAGATAGAAACACAAGTATTTTTGAGAGCTGTTTCAATCTTTCATATAGCTGTAGAGCCACAGAGGCTAACTATTTTAGGAGTCACTTTGATTGTATGCTTTTCAACATGGAAACAGTGACAAAGCAGCCAAAGTATCTTAGTTTATAAGCTAGTATCACTAACACTCTTAATACAARGTGTCATACTAGGTGTCATAATTCCCTGTTCTTGCACATAAGAAAGCAGTTACCCTTCAAGGGCATATCTGGGATGTGCTTATTCATGTGCTCAGTTGAGCTTTGACTCAAATGCCAGCAAATGTTCTGAAGCCTCTCAATATATCTGAGATTTAAATGGCTTTCTGCTAATAAATGCTCAACAGCTTACCACATTATTCATAAGTATTAACTAAATGGGTCATAGTCTTTTGCACAAAAATAATATAAAACAATGTTGCACTGTAGTCAAAACACCATGTTAGACTTACCTCTGACTGAGAATGGCAGCTTAATGCAGAGGCTCGAAATTCAACATTACCCCAATAGTTGAAAGTTACTGTATAGCCGCACTGTGATGCCATGGCCTCATCTATCTCCCAGGCTCTGCCAAATCCATCTACGGATAATTAGTTAAGAGCAATAATAGAGACCCTCAGTCTTTTCTTGCCCCTCAGGTTCTGCTGCTTTGTTCTTGGAACCTAAAGAGCAACACTGATGTGGCCCAGCTGCATAAGCTGAGCTTAGACTCCAGATAGAACTGCAAAGTGAAAAATTATCTGCGAGAAAGTCCATAAACACAAATAAAGTAGAATTATGGAACTGAGACAGAGCTCATTAGCACTTAGCAATTCAAGAGGAGAGAAGAAAGGAGGAAGAAAAAAAAAGCAAAAACACTCCAAAATAGAGAGGTGTGAAATCCGGAAGGGAGTACTTGTTGGTGAAACAGTGAGCAGCTGGGTCACTCAGTGATGTCAGGGTTGATGGATGTTGACAACTTAGCAACATCAGGGACTTGTTCTGGTGATAGATGGTTCAGGCCAACACTTCCCCTGACTGATGCGTGCTTGGCCAACAGATACTCCTCAGGAGTCCTATAAGGACTGTCAGGCAAAGCTCAGCTTTGTTTCAGAAGCTAATAAACTATCTTTAAGTCAAGAATAGTTCCTTTATTCTTTTGAGCTGAACATGTCCTACTTAAAGGTTTCTTTGTATGCAGCTGAAGATGCCTGAACACAAGAGCCCAAACTGAAAAGACGATGACATTGATGATGACATTTTAGTAGCATTCTAGATGGAGATAGCRTTATGGCCTATATGTAGTTCTGCTATACCTCAAACATGGAGAGCTATTAAAGGGCTGAGTTTGTGTTAAGTACCTTACATCTGACACCTCTGGGGATAAATGCATTATCTCACTCCATTCTTCTAGGGGACTTCATGATGCTCTTCATTTGAGCACATCACTTGGGCTGTCTGGCGATGGGCTTGGTGGGCATCAACTAATTTTGTTATCACTAGCTGCTAAGAGAACTTGGGTATAGAGCTGCTGAGGGAAAAAAAAATAGTGCCTGCTTTAGCTTGTGAATTTTTAGAATTACATGCTCTGTTACTAGGAATCATTTTTTTCCAAGCAGTAAAATCCACCAACATGTGCATGGCAGACCACCACCACGTTTTCCTGAGTAATGCATTTCAATTTTGGTCCAAGGACAGCCTGAATTGCTGCTGCCATGTTATCTTTACAGAAAGAGTGGTAGAGAAGCAAAGGGAGCATTTTGTTATTTATGATGAGACACAACCTACTTCCACAGCTGCGTGAACCTAATATATAGTTCAAGGGATCTTAATATTAGAGATCTTAATATTTCCTCTCCAAGTTCTTTACTATCAACTTACCAATAGCAGAAAAAGTCAAGTATTTGTCCTCAAAGTATTCTGCACTCAGTGTTATGCGCAAGAAATTCCCCAAGCACTCTGAWCTCATGGATCCTGCATTGAAGTTTTTGAAAAACTAGTGAATGGTGGGTTAAAGATTCCATATATGCAGCAACATGTTGCTTTCCAGGTCATTTAACAATTCTTTAACTGTCAAATGTTGAAGTCTAGCATTACTTTCAAAGTATTACTTTGCAAAAGAAAATTCAGCCTAAATTAGCATAAGATAGTAAGTTTATCTTGGCAGTAAACAACGTCACCCAAAGGATCTTGTCATTGTAAAAGGATTTTGGAACCAGATCAAGATTATAGGGCTGCCTTGARCTTAACATCTTATTTGGAATAAAACAGAACAAAAGCCCCCACAAAACAAACCCCTATTCACAAAAATGGCCATAAACCCGGWACTAGGTGAGAAGTAGCTGTACCTGCTACTTACTCATCCACCCAAATGCCAACAGCCACGGGATTCTTGCCAGAACAGAGTCACACAGAAGCACTGAGGATCACAGAAACCAGAGTCCCAGGCTAGCAGAGCAGCCTGAACCTGCCTGCAGCTGCCAGACCTTTAACAACGTAGAAAGCATGTACAACCTATTTTACATGTCCACAAGGCTTCGTGATTTCTATTCTGTTTATCATATTTCCCAGCCAAACTGAAATCATTTCAACTMTATGTTTTTATGGTATCACACCCTAATTCTAGTCAGAATTTTAACAGCAAGAGTACATTTAAAGGGCTCATAGATTTTCTTGTCCTAGAAGTCAGCACTATATCCACTATATCCTTAAGTTAATCGGAGCTGGAACTGGTACCAGAGCTAGTTATGTCAGGGAACATAAAAAAACACTGATGAATATAACCTCTTTTTGCTCATATTCCAAGATACCAGTATGATTTAGCTTTAGTGCAGAAACTATATAATTGTTTTAAGCTGGGCAAGATCTTCCAAAATATATCTTTTCACCCTGATCTACATAGGCTAGATATTAACATCTAGCTAATATGTGTCAATAGCTAATATGCAATAGCTCTCTACATTTGCTGACCTAGGATCAACTCTATTTCATAARGCAAAAGTTAGTCAAAATTACTGGCTTCATGACGAAGGACATCTGTACTCAGAGAAAGCATTAATATCTCAGTGATATTTAAAAGACTCTACATGTTATGGAGTGCATAAATATATATAGATAGCTTAATGAAATAAAAACAATAATAAAGTTGTTCTTTTCTTAAATCATCAGTGCTATAAGAGTAAAGAAGGATAAAAAAATAGGTCTATGATAGTACATAAATCCGGACGCATTAATGCATGATTAACAAGAGACACCACTTTAGTGCTTGGAGTTTCTCACAAAAAGTTCCTCTGCATCAGAAAAAGGCTAGTGCAACACACTGTCACCTATGAAAAGGTTAGAAATCAGCATATAAAGGCAGCTTACAGCAATATTACCTGACTTTTCTTCAGTCTGAACGCCAGGGACTACTGTCCCTATTAGTAACAACCTGTAAGGGAAAAAGAGGGAGATCAGCATCAGCTCCAGTTGTAACAAAAGCTGAGCCGGATAACACCTTTTTTTTTTTTTTTCTTAAATCAGGCACTAGAGCGTATTACACTTATATTTTTCTTATWTTTTTTCATCTTGGAAAATACAAAATAGAATTTCTGCATTTAGTASTAGAAAATTAGGGAATGCAAAGCAGATACTCTACACAGGATTGTTCATCTCTAGAAGTAGCAAAGTTCTCACCTCAGCATTAGAACCAGCTCCATTGCCTTTTCACCTGGTCTTTAGCTATAGTGTTTTTTCTGTTACCGTGATACACAAACTAAAATACCAACCATCAGTTTTCCACACACACCCCAAAAAAAAAA